ACCTGAAATCTTTTTATGTGTTAGAGACTGCGCTGTTCTCACTTCTCGTTGAATTCTTCTTGAACTTTGGGCTTCAGCTGCTCTATGTAGTGTTTTTGTCAACTTGGCACAAAACTAGACATGTCTAGAAAGTGAAAATCTTAATTAAGAAAATTTTTTCCTTAAGATTGGCATGAAGGCAAGCCTGTAGAGATTTTTTTTTGATTAAACTTTGATGTAAAAAGTCTTCTCTTCTGTGGGTGGTGCCAGACTGAATGGGGGACGCAAGCAAGCTGAGCAAGCCACAACAAGCAAGCCAATAAACAGCAATTTCCCATAGTTTCTGCTTCATTGATTGCCTAAAGATTTTTGCCCTGCTTGAGTATCTACTCCAACTTCCCTGCAGGAATAGACTGTTACCTGGAATTGTAAAATAATATAAAACCTTTCCTCCACAAGTTGCTTTTGTTTATGGAACTCATCAGTAGAAATAGAACTCTAAGATTCTAGAATTTATAGATTAAAATATATTTGTCCCTTTCCTTTCATTATTTCAAACCCTCTTCTATACACATCTCTACTCTATTTAAAATATTTGTCCTTTTTATATATTTATTTATATATTTAAGAATATATATATTCTTAAATATTACCTGTTCCATCTGTATAATGTTACTTGAATATATATTTTTTTTCATGGTTAACTATTTGACACTGGAAAACCAATTGGTTTGTTATTTCCTGAGAGAAGAATACATATTGTTGAGACATTATGGTGTAGCTACTAAAGTTCTAGGAAACATAATCTGACATCAAACTGCCTGATCCTCTGGCTCTTAACTGTCTTACTTCCTCCTTTTCTATAGTGTTCCCTGAACTTTAGTTTCAGGACTGTTTTAGATGTATCTGATCAGAATAACACTAAAGTGCAGTCATAACACATATATACCTTGGAAGAAACCAACAGATATCTAATTACACCATAAACCATTTTAAGAAGAGGAAAACAATGCCTAGTACTGGAATCCTGTCTAAGTATTCTATGCTAGTATAGTATCCTCCATAATTATTGGAGGATGATTGACAACCTCTAATTCACTTAAACAATATGATAATATAATATATAATAAAAATCTATAACTGCCAATCTTTTAATGAGTCTTAATGTGACATTTTTCTACCCATAGCTTCAGAATAAACCTGTAATTAAAGCATCAAGGATTCAACTTTTTCATTTTCATAATACAGGCAATGTATGTCCATATATGAAGTTTCCTGTGTACATCATTGTAATTACAAATGTGTATGAGCTCTAAATATATTCTATTAATCAAATATAACTTTCAGTACAAAATTGTTAGTGTATCATCATTATTCAATGAACATATGTTTTGTTTAGTAAAACAGAATACAAATATTATAAAACAGAAAAATGGAGTTCCAACTTAGGGGTAGAAAAGAAGTTCAGTACAGAAGAAGGAAGGACAAAGAACAAATATCATCAAAGTTGGAAGATTAAACCTTCATGGAAACATATTTTATACTTACTTAAAATTATACACAATACAGTAAGTGTATTTATGCATAAATGTGTGTATGTGCACATATATAACTTAAAGGGACTTCAACTGGCAATGCTCTGAACATAAGTCATAGAATAACAAAAACCCAGTACCAGGCATAAGAAACCTCCTTTCAAATGGTTGGTATTGCAAGTAACTCTTAAATCAATATAGACTATTGCCATTACACTTGGTTGCCTCTCAGAAGCAGAAGTCCCTATTGTTGAAGACACAGTACACTGAGAACACAGAACCTGAATGAATGTGAACTGGATATTCTAAAAGCCCCTTGATTTCTATATAGCTTTCATGGTATCAGAAATACAATTCAAGCTGCTGAAGACAGGAAGTAATTAATAGTTCAATCAGATATCACACCTATGAATTACATGTCAAGATATTGTAATGGTTCAATATAGACATGATAAATAATCACTGCAAATTTATTCCATTTTTTATTATATATTCTTAATGGCTAGAGTATTACTCAAAACATCAACAGTAAAACAAACAAATAAACAACAAAAAACATTAGGGATAAAGAGATAGGATTTTTTTTTTCCTTTTAGGACATGATAGGATCTTTTAAGAACTAGCATATTGGAATACTCAAAAATGTAAAAAAGGCATCATACATATTTGATAGATAAATACATTAGTTTTAAGGAATGCTGAACCTACCGGTGATTGTCCAGTAGATAATTACATTAGTTTTAAGGAATGCTGAACCTACCGGTGATTGTCCAGTACCACTGCAAATCACTACTATCTGTGGAAATTTTACAAATAATATAGCCAAGACTAAAATACAGAGATGTTATTTCAAATTATTCAAGTTTGCTTTCAGCATTGTAGTGTTAATATTTTTTGGCTTATAGCTGACTCTGATATAATTCTCAGTTATCTTGCCTTGCTAAAGCAAACATGCAATCTAAACTATAGGGGAGTCTGAGCTGATCACAAAGTCAAAGACAGCCTGAGCAATAGCTATAGATCTAGACTAGCTTTAGTACTTAACAATACCCTGTCTTAAAATAAGCTAGCCTACTTGTATAGGATATCCAATCACCTAAGTTCAACCCCTAGTACAACAAGACAAACAAAAGCTGTAATGAAATGGTACTTGCATATTAACAAATACAAAGTTGTTTATGATTGAGAAAAATCTGTATAAATTTGTTTTTTTTAAATAGTCCTAAGTCATTAAGAAATATTAAAAAAAATATGTGATATGATTAATTCCTTTTCCTAGACAAATTAAGTAGCCTGAATATTTAAAAATATTTAAATATGATCATTAAAAGGTAATATTTTCTATAATTTCAATTTAATTATCATTGGTTATTTTTATGAATATTGATAAATATTAATTGTGTTATATAAATGGCACTGTGGCAGTAAGAAACAAAAAAAATAAAGTTTGAGTATTGCTATCGTGTAATTTTACAATAAAGGCACATAAAAAAATGCACAAATTAAAAAGCCCTTTGTAATACCTGGTAACTGTGATGAGAGAAAATGTGAGTGTAAGGCACACTGTTTCCCAGCCCAGCACTCATTTAAGCAGAATGACTACAGTCCTTCCTGGGATGTACACCTCAGACATGAGGCTAGAAAGATGAGTTGATATTGAAATATAAGGAGAAAATAGAAAAAACTGAGTAAAGGTTTGTTGTTATAAAATAAAGGTTACATTTGGTAGTTTGTTTGGGAGGACAAAAGGCCCAGATTACAGAAAGTTACAGATGATCTTTACTCTGTAATATTCGTGGAACACATGTTGTAAAATAGAGAGACAGAGGCAAGTTCTGTTTTTCATTAATATTTTGGAAGATGATGCACATGTAAAACAAACTTTTTTTTAATTCGGAATTGTATATAAGTGAAAATGCAAAAATATCACAATTGGAGAAGAACATTTGCGAGAGAGAGAGAGAGAGAGAGAGAGAGAGAGAGAGAGAGAGAGAGAGAGAGAGANGAGAGAGAGAGAGAGAGAGAGAGAGAGAGAGCAATGTTTAAGCAATCACAATAGAAGGGTACCTGGCTATCCCAGTTCAATCAGAACACAGATTACTGATGAGGAAACGAAGATAGAGTGGGAAGAGTTAAGACTGTAAAAGACTTGACTGTCAAGGATGAACTATCTATGACCATTGTGAATTATTTAAAAGTTTGTATAGTATGAAATCAGAAAAATAGTAATATTGCATAGATACAATAAAAACCCCAGGAGAATAGGCTGGCTCTCAGCAGCAGAGTACATATCTGCTGAAACAATCCTAATAGGAGGTCATGACATCGTGGACAAATGATTTGATGAACAATAAGTCAAATATGTTATTGTCTATACTAAAGTTTTGCTGAAGAATTATTCTTGTTTTGTGCACATAGAGGTTATCCTTAAAAAGAAAAAGGGGGAAGACTAATATTAGGTTGAAGAGGGTCTTAAGGTTTTAGATAAGATAAAGAAGAGTCTGAAATCCTCAGCTAGAGAATAAAAAAACCTCATTACACCAAGGCTGTTAGATCATTGTTGCCAGCATTGCTTCACTATTAAAAACTTTTAATCCAAACTATTCTATTTTGAATGCCTCCAGTTTTGACATCCATTCTTGCTACTAAGATCAAAAATATGATTTTTCCTGGCCTGATTTGTCATTTTACTCAATTTTAGAGATTATGGATGCTAAGAATTTACAGGGCTTTTCTGAGATGCTAGCTTTGTTTCTTCTGGTCAAGAGAAACATAGAAAAGTCACTAGTTAACTGTCTTGACAATAGAAAATACTGACTAAATAATCCAAAAGCTACTGCTTATACTAAAATTAAGATTCTTCTTTGTAAATGTCATAAATGATCATTACTAGCAATCTAATTAAAACATGTAATTATTTTATTGGTAAAATATCTAATTTATCAACATTGGTTTAATTATGGTAGCCGTGAAATGTTTCTGGTTTTTAAAATTACTTTCTATTTTATTGCATAAAGAAAATTAGTAATATGAGAGCTATTAATCGAGCTGGAAACAATAAAATTGAAAACAAGAAAGAAATGTAATTTTCATAAAAAATATTGAAAAATAATTTCTATGTACTGTGAAATACAGTTTTAGTAAAAGAATTTACATTTGGCTATTCATTTAATTATTTACTTCTACATGTCTAAAAGGTTTTCAAATCTGAATGTTGGCAATTTATTAATAGTAGTAAATTATGTATAACTGTAAAGATTTCCAATAACACATAAAGCTGTTTTTCAATACAGATACCTCAAATATTCATATGACATATCACAGAAGATTAACAAAATAAAATGTGGACTGAATAAACATTGAGTTCTCTGTTTTACAGTAATTGCTAAATTACTATAATACAGTGCATTCTGCTCATTAGTATTCCTATTAAAATGTTATTTTCTATCTACATCCATCTAAAATAATCGAGAAACAAAAACTTACCAAAATGGTGGTAACAATCAAAGAACGATTAGACAGGGAGTCTGTGATGTTCGCTGGCTTCCCTTTCTGACTTTCTGTCATATTTAGGCCACTGGCTGGGTCCCACGTTCCAATCTATAAAACAGCAAATTAACTTTGTGAATTGTCCATCAGGCACCTGAGAGAGGGTGCTGGAAGAAAAAGTTAGGACTGCCAACACTTACTATTCACCTCTGCAGCATTATGTTCTGTCATTAAAGTATAGGCTGCTTGTTTTAAGCATGATTCACTGTTCTGTGAAATGTGTCTAGCGAAGTGTGACATTAAAGAAGAAAATAATTCACCATACTGCCACTATCAGTGTGGGAGCTTCATTTTCCATTAAAATTTCATTCTCCAAGATAAACCACATTTGATCATACGTTGGTAGCTACTAGAAACTGATGGATAGGGTATGTCTTTTAGTGTAATGGCCCTATTTCATTCTCTCATTATAAAGAGAGTATTCCACATCACAGACAAAGCTAAAAGACAGGGAAAAACCTGGAGAATGAGGAAAATGAATAAGTATAGACAGGCTTATGGGAAGGATTGGCTACCTTTCTGTCTAACCGCAGGTAGAGTAAATCTATATCAAGATATCTTTGGGGCTTTTAAAATAATCTTTTGTTATATTACTAATTCTGGAAAGGAGATCCTAGTAAAATATTATCTAGATAACCTACCCCCACTGCTTCTTTGTGTACTCTATTTTAATAGACTTTACTGAACCAATGTCTTCCTATAGGTGAGGCTTTATTTCATACTGTTTGTCTATAGACATTTCATGTGACTGAACACAATGAGTAGGATGACAAAGTCAGTCTCTAGGAAAGGAAATACAAACACAAGACCCCACAAAAGGCATAGGCTGGGTGTTTAATAGTAACTACATTGTCAGGAGCCATTTCCCCCCAATCATTACAGGAACCATCACCCTAGGGAGTCTGCAGGGAACCTCACACCCATAATTATGTTCTATTGACAGAATCTGCCCCTCACCTAATTAACTGTTAATCTATTAGCAGAACACGCCTCACATTCCAGCTATCCAGGGAACCAGGTGTGGC